CCATTCTATCGGGAATCAACTTGAAGCAGATTTGTGGACGAGTTTGAAAACTGTGACTTGTTCTTGAAGTGGCCACGGAGTTTATTTATATACGCGAATCGCACTTGAAGTATATACGCTTTTGAATGGTGGTGAAATGCGCGGCGTATTCCCGAAAAGAATTGATCTATATGGGAAACCTTGTTTTTCATTCCTTCTAATAAAGTCAACGATAGCGCATACTTTGCAACTCGAAAAGATGGCGTCCAAGACATTGCATTTCATCTGCTGGGGACATCGTTTGAACTTGGGGATGTTCTGGGTTTTTGAATTTTTAATCGAGCCTTTGTTTGATGGGATCAGGGTCCGTTTGGATCCCCATCGACGGGGGTCATATTCCTCTTGACAAAATGCTTTCGGGTTTTCGGTTGTGCTTTTGCTTTTCCTTACTATCCCTTTATTCCCGTTTCGCTGGCGCAATGCACCTTCCCTCCCTCCCTCCCTTCGGCCGACGGTAGTTCGTGTCGGATAAACAGGAGAATTTCTCTAGAAAATGGAGAAAGTTGGGGAGAAGTCAAGAAAATGGCAGCTAAGTTGGGAGGTTACGGAATAAGGAGGGGCCGTATCAGAGGAGAAAATTGGATCGTTGGGATGGTCATATTTTGCAAAATTTTCGTCAGGACCTGGGTGTTAAACACAACTCAGTCCGCATAGACACGACAATGACATGCAGCGCGAAGCTTTGTCAAACGTCGTGCGCCTTCTGCGTGCGTTCGGCCACGCCTACTTTTTTATGCGGCGCGGAGGGGCTGTTTATGAATTCGGCGGCACGGTGTTGCTTGTTTTCCCTCATTACCGACTCTTTTTCTCAGGGGTTTTCTATTTCTTTAACCTGCATTGATTAACGTACTTTGGAGCCAAAAAAGCCTAGGAAAAGAGCTGCTGTTGTATTTTGAACCACTTCATTTAAAGTATATTGTGTTTCCGTATGGTCGTTCAAACCTTTCTCTTCTTGGGTTACAGAATTCACGTCTTAGAAGTCCTGCTGCCTCATTTTCTCAATTTTTCAAGGTAGCAATTCGCTTTGTGGGTTGCCTGAACTGAATCTGGTTTTGAATATACTCCCCATTCCTTCCCCTTTACAACTTTGAACAATTTTCGTGTTTTTAACCAGTTTTTCCGCTCTGTTCTTGTGATTTTTCGTCCTTTTTGAACTTTGACGCTCATTTTCTCGCCGAAGAAACGCTTCTGTGCCGACAGTAGAGCAAACCGCAACCGGTTTTTTTCAAGGCATAAAAATGAATATAAATAAGGCACGGTCAGCATATTTTTGACCAAAGCAACTTCTACAGTCGCAGTTTACTTCTACAGGGGAAGGTTAGGGAGAACGTGCATCGAAATCAATGCACATGACGTTTGATTCGCTAGGAGTGTTGAAGAGACAGCACTATGTGCTCAGCTATATTGCAAGATTCATTGGTTTGCTCGAGAAACTGCAAAAAAAATCATTTTTCTAAGGTCCCAAGATGGGTGTGCTACACACCCTGGATTTGGAGAATTTCAAATCGTACAAAGGAAAACAAGTGATCGGTCCGTTTAAGAGGTTTACGGCAA